TTACTATAGGCATGACATCTAATCGTTTAAGAACTGATGTTAGAAACTTGTAGGTGTGGTAACAAATGAAAGCACATATAAATACTCGTTACAACAGAAGTTGAACTGCACCATATCCTATAGGCATGGTATCTATTTGTGACACTGATTTTAAGACCTATAAACATGATTTCTATTATTAGAACAACTTGAAACCTATAGGCATGATTTTTAACATGGTAAGGCAAAACATAGCAAAATGTAAAGTCCTATAGGTATGGTTTCTACCCGTATTACCCCACAAATATGTAACTACCCACCCTTTTTTTCACTAGTTACCCCAATATTCGTTTACAAATTATTACAGACCATATGAATTGAATTACATGAATAGGTAAACAGAAAAGAAGATGTTACACTATAGGGAGCCTGAAGCAGGCCCAAGTGATTTCCCAAGACCTCCAATAGCCTCAAATGCCAATTTCATATATAATATCATTGTCTAGGTGCGTCAAAGTTCCCTAAGGATATATAGGATCCCGGGCACTGCTCACACCTAAACTTTGTAACCAAATTGAGTAAGTGCAGTGTGGAAGGGCCAGTCTCAGTGTGTTAGAGTTCAGAGGGTTCTCAAGAGGATCCCAAGGCAGTACACACATTGGAGGGGGCAGAACCTAGTGGCTTAGGAGTAGAGTGAGAGCGATTGACATAGTTTGAAAGATTTTAGTGGGAAAACAGTGTTAAAGAGATTTGCTTGGAATAGTTTTGTAAATAAGAGGGTTGTTTAATAAAGCAGATTTTGGAGAACAATCATATAACTCAAAAAACAACAGGTCAGTCAAGCAAGTTCAGCAAACACTCAGGGAACAAGTTTCCACACAGGGTCAATTGGGGGTTGGGGACAAATAGGGCAGGTGTGATAAACACATAACAGGCAGAAGTCATTTGCCCTTAGTGCAGGTAGTAAGACATAGATCCAGGAGTGTTAATTAGAATACAGTTACAGAACCAGAGATGTCTTGGGGGATTCATGGGAGTTGGGAGATAGTAGAGTATAGGATTTTATACTAAACATGGTTGAGCATAATATTAAAATAACTTGGGCAACAGCCCAACAAGTGCATACTAGAACTAGTAGAGAGGCATTAAATAGAGTAGAGTCAAGTTACTTGTTCATGAGAACATGTTGAAGCAAAGAGATTAATTACATGTTGAACAACAAAACTATAGGTAAAAACAAATTAGGAACATGATGAACTGAAGTATTAAAAGAAACATATTATTTTTGGAGCTTGAATTGAAATCAGAACATACCAGTATAGAGATAGTAAACACAAGGTGAAGAATAGGAGAGCACAATAATTAGCCTTGGCTTACAGCCGGCTAATTCAAATGGTAGCAAGTAACAAAGAAAGAAAACAGAAAGCTTTTAGGGTGAGAGAGAGAGAGTTTTGAACCAATGTGTTCGTGTGTTTGTGTTAATGAGAGAGTGTGTATATATAGTAGTCCAAAACTAGATAAAATAAAGTAAGAATCATAATAGTGCAGTAATTATGGAACTCAGAATCAATTAGAGCAAAATCAGTACTAGCAATCCCATAAGTTAAGGGAATTAGTTTAAACGGTAAGAACAAATGACAAATAAAGAAAGAAATCATTGTATGACCAATTAGGAAAGATTTCAAATTCATTAAGTATAGGGTAAACAATTAGGGCTAAGTTCAGAAAACTCTAATTAAGGAGATAATCAGTGGGAATAAAATACTAATGTAGACAAGGTAGCAAATCAATCAATTTAAATAGAAAGAGTAGGAATCGAAGGTTTAAAGGAAGGTCTTCCAATCAAACCATGAAATAGGGAATCTAGAATCAATCAAAGAGAAAGTCATGATTCAATGTTCAGCACATAAATAGAGTAAGATAAGAACAACCAGACATAGCAAACATGAAGGTTAAACAACACTGATAGAAAGAATCAAGTCTTGAACAGTCAAGATGGACACAAGCACATAGAAGTGATATAAGTTAGGCTAAAACTCAGTAAGAACATATTCGAGGCAAGATAGTCACAGAAACTCAAACAATCAGTCATGCTAATACACAGAACCAAACGAAGAAATCTAGAAAATTAGGGCTTTCAACATAGGCGAGTTGAGAAGGTAGTAAAATCATAGAATCAGTCGAAATATGTGAGAAATAGAAGTTTAAACATAAAGAATCAGTTTAAACAAAGTTTTAAAAGAAATTCTGAAACCCTAATTTTTAGAAGAAGACAAAAACACTTGAAATTACATGATTCTTGTAAAGAGTTCAAAGGACAGTGAAAAATATTAAAGAAACAAACTCAAATCGTTCTTGATCTGTACAGATCTAGGAGATATAGGCAGAAATTAGGGTTTCAAAATAAACCCATATAGAGATGAAAGAACTTGTCTAGAACCCCAAGGATCGTAACAAATACAACATGATTTTTCTCGAAATCATACTGGAGTATCCAAGAACAGACAAGTGACAACCCCTAGATGCAAGTCGGCGTGGCCCTGGGCCCTTGAAGACCTTAGAGAAGGCAAGCATGGCATGAGAGAAGCCATTGGACGCTTAGGAGTCGATGAGAGATCACCGGAGAAGACCAGAGAAGAGAGGTTCGCGGTTGAAGGGCTAGGGTTTGATTGAGTTATTGAGAGAGGAGAGAAGATGAGAGAATACATAGGCGGCGGGTTTGGGAGAATGAGTTAGAGTTAGGGGTCGTTTAGAGTTAAAAAATGCAAGAACGAACGAGGGCCGCTGATTTTTTAGATCAACGGCCATGATTTAGTAGGTTTTGGGTCGGGTAGGGGTAATTAAGGCCTGGGTCGGATAATTTCGATTAGGAATTGGGTTGGGGTGTTGGGTTCAATTAAGGCTAAAATTGAAATACAATCTAGCTATTTTTAAATAGCCAATTTAACCCCATATAATTTATAATAAATAGTAAATAATTTATAAAAAATAATTCCATGTACTAAAATAATTTAAAATAGATATTTAATATTTTAAAAATATGGAAGATCAATTTTATGCATATAAATATAAGTATATATTAATAGGGCTAATATTGCAATTATATGCAAATTAGCTTTAAATATACAAAATGCAATTACAAAAATGCATTAAAAATATTTTAATAATATTTTGGCATAAATATAGAATTTATATGACTAAATTACCATAATAATTAATTTGAAGGATAATTATTGGGGATTTTATGAGTAAAATGGGAGGAAATAAATCAATTTCAAATCTTTAAAATTATAGAAAAATTATAAAAACCTTGTGCATGCTTATATATGTTATTTTGAAAGTATTTATGCATATTAAAAATATAAAAAAAAAAATTGGGTATCAACAACAACAATAAGCGATGAATCGCCCCTGACTATCCGATACTCAACCCAAACATACGTCCAATTCCGAAATCACCTTACGAACCTATAGGAACCTTCAAATCTCGATTCCGAGACCATTTATTCAAAAATAAATCCTTGATCAACTCCTTCAACTTAAGGTTTCACTACAAAAAAAACTGGATTTAGCTACGAACGTCGTCGCTAATCTGTCGCTAAAATGCTCGTTGCTAGAAGAATCTTTTGATAATCCGTCGCTAATCCATCGCTAAATGAGATTAGCGACGAATTTTTCTGTTTAGCTACAGATTTTGTCCGTCGCTAAACCCTGGTTTTTTAGTAGTGTTTTCGAATTAAGAATATTCTTCCAAATCATCTGCGAACTTCTCGAAAATCAAAACCAACAGCACATGCAAGTCATTATACTTAAAATGAAACTACTCAAAGTCTCAAATCATCGAACAATATGCTAGATCTGAAAACGACCGGCCGAGTCGTTACATTTAGACGTCATAAATGTGGATCAAATTTTAGATCTCTTAATTAGCTTAATCCACATAAGTATGTGAAAGCTATTCATTTCAGGATATTAATATTAAAATAGGTAGAACATCATTTCGCCAATTAAATATGCAATTTATCTTTAATAAAAAAGCTGGTCTCAATTGCAAAATCATTTCTTTATAAAAGGCACCTGTATTAATTTTAGAACATCAAAATAGGTGTAAACTTTATATACTTATTTTTTCCTTCGTTTGCGTATCTGATATAAGTGACAGAATAGGAGAGTTACTTACATCTCATTTTCACTAGCTAGATATGCAATTTAGGTAATTAAAAAAAGTCTAAATTAGCAATGTCCTTTCCTTATAATTTTAATTAACTTTGAGATCTCTTTTTTAGTTTAATCCAAGTAAATATGTGTAAAAGCTGATCATCTTAGAAAACTAAATAGGTATAAAGTTTATGTACTTATATCTTTTCTTTGTTTGCTCATCTAATAAGAGAGGTATAATTAAATCCCAATCGCCAGTTAGGTAGGCAATTTAGGTAAAAAAAAAAGGATCTCAACTGGAAAAATCTTTTCTTTACAAATTTGAAATAAATTTGAGATCTCATTACTAGTTTAATCCATGAATATATGTGTAAATGGTATTCATTTTAGAATATTAAAATAGTTATAAAATTTATGAGCCTACCATCAGTGACAGAATAGGTCTCTGGTGGCAAGTATATGTTAATTTCTTTACAAATTTGAAATAAATTTGAGATCTCATTACTAGTTTAATCCATGAATATATGTGTAAATGGTATTCATTTTAGAATATTAAAATAGTTATAAAATTTATGAGCCTACCATCAGTGACAGAATAGGTCTCTGGTGGCAAGTATATGTTAATTTCTTTACAAATTTGACATAATTTGAGATCTCTACATTAGTATAACCCACGTAATTATGGGTAAATGGTATTCATGTTAATCTATTATAATAGGTATAGTGTTTAATACACTTGTATTCTTAAAATGCCAAGTAATATGAACTTACCATTTAGTAGAATCAAAGCCAGATAGCACAAGTTTTTATGATTAGTATAAATAGAAGTGGAAGATATGAGAAAGATAAATTGCTTTAAAATTACAAAATGAAGATGAGTCAAACATTTTTCGCTGTGTTCGCTTTTTTAGTTCTTGCATCAGGTATCTTCTTGCTAAACTAATTTTTCTTGTTTTTTATTCCAACATGTAAATAATAATTGTCAGGTAAGAATTTAAAAATGATGATACATGAGAAAAAAGAAGTTTTTCTACCGTTTCTTATGCTAGGTTTGTTATCCAAAAAGGTGGCAAGTCTTTCCTATTAATTAATCAAATGAAAATGGATTTGACTAAGGCCATATTAACTGTGTTGAAGTCAAATATTATTTACACATTTTAACTTTAATAACAAGTTATTTTGGGTATGTGCAGTTGAAGGTATTGAAACAGGGATTTGTGAACGATTTGTCCTAGGGGTTATTTGTCCACCAGAAGAAGATTCAAGGATATGCCTAACGGAGTGCACTAATATATCCAAAGGTCATAAACCCATTAATCATCCTTGTTTACAAGGCAAAGATTCATCTTTCTGCTTTTGTCAGTGGCTATCAGATTTATGTTAATGGAGATCTTCTACATCCATCAAACGTTCATTATTCTCGATCAACACTTACACCAATCAATTCTAGAAGAAATCTTTGATTGTAATAAGAGATATATAACAGTTGTACTTACTGATTCTTCATCAAGTTTTGTTTAGTATAAGAATTTCGTAAAGTATGATTCAGTATTCAATATTTTCGAATAGCTTTCTTAACATATATCTAGATTTAAACTAACAAAAAATTGTCAAGGGTTACACTGTCTTTTTGAATAACAATTATTCATAAAGAGTATATATCATCAGCCATCTCTTAAAATTTGAAAAAAATTCTTTAAAGAAAATATGTCATTCAATACATTTCATAATTTAAAGAATCATAGTCATTTAAAGATTCACTAAAAGGCATATATAAATTATAATTATACATGTATTGAAGCTCATCTTTGCACATAACTGCCCTTATTAAATCAGGTTGAGTTTGCTCCATTAATTTTCAAAAATTATTTCAGATCGTCACAACTCATCAAAATAATATTTAAAGGCTGTAATTTATTTCAATATACTTCGATAAATCAGAAAAGAAAGAAAGAATATGATCTCACTCCTACTTCTAAGTTAAAATGATTGTCAAGAACATCATTCCCCTTAATATATCTTTCTCAGTTCTCTTTTTGTTTTCATTCCATGTTTTATCCTATACAACCATATACATTCTCCTCCTCCATCCCTTTCCATTTTCTCAATGGAACTTTAAACTATTTTTTAAGCTTTTGCCACTCTTTTCTTTGATGTAGAATGATGGTCATCGATTTCAATTTCTAAAAGGCTTCTCTCTTTATATTCCAAATTTATTAGTAAAGTGAAAAAAAGAAATAGAAAGAGTGGTCCTTTTAAATTCTCTTATAGTTCACTTCCAAAATATTCAACTTTAATTTGTTGGTTATATATGAAAAGCAATTTGCTCCAACTTTATTCACCCACAGGGCAATTATCAAATCAGATTCGATCCAAAGGGGAAATGCGTGATTCCACACTATATGGATTTGATGGAGTTGTGGGCTAGCTTGAACTACATATTTTTTGTTTTCTTGTGCTTTTCAAGAGGGCACTTTGGATGGAACTTGAAAAGGTTTAATATCATCTTTTACCTTCATATTTAATTAAGTAAATAAATAAAAGGCACAGTGATGTTCCACCTAATTTACGCACGCCTCAATTATTTCAGGAGATATAATAACTTTGATCACCAAAACATAGACAAATGGAGAGATATCACCAGATCTAATACCTTTAGTCTAAAGGTGTATAAAGGAAACCAACAAATCGTATTAACCCAATAATTCGAGTCAAATCGAGAAAAAAAATCCGACTATGATTTAGTTTGGTGTTGGAAACCATAATTGGTTTAGTTTGGTATTAACTAAAGAAAGTCAAACCGAAACCAAACCAACCTGACATTACATATATAGAAATTTTAGATATATTTAATATATAAATATACTTATTGTGATGTAATTTATAAATATTTCTAAAAAAATCATAATTTTATCTTTTAAAGTATTATTTCAATGTTTGACTTAGAACTTTTGAATGTTCCAATAAGTTTTATAGCCATTAATATTAATACATTAAATAATGCCAACAAAAACCGAAACGAAAATCAAATCAATAATAATGCTAACAAAAGACATTCAGTTCAATACTACGAACGAGAATGTATTGAATATCTATTTTTTGTTTTGCAATAATTTAAATAAAAATTCATAACTTGTTTTATTTCTTCTTTAGCGTTTAGTCATGTAATTAATAATCCCTAATTAGTCTACTTATTTTAGCATAACTTAGTACTTTTAGATTATGTTTATTTTTATTATGGCTTTTTAATTAGCAATTATTTATATTACATAATTTTATTGTCTTTATTGTTCAATATTTTAGGATAATGCCATGACACATCTCTTATTTTTTATTATTTTCTTGAAAAATACTTTATATAGTTGTATCTTACTAGGATTAAAATAATATTTTGAGCACAAATTATATGTTTTGTTCTACGAAGATTTTACTGGAAAAAACCCGAATAACCCGAGAAAAACCGAGATTGAAAAACCCGAGTTTTATTGGTTTGGTTTGGTATTTAGATTTAATAACCCGACACAATTGGTTTGGTTTGGTAATTGTAAAATCCGAACCAACCCGACCTATGTACACCCTACTTACAACTTATTTGGATGGTTGTTACCTATTGTATTGTATAGTATTGTTACTTTAATTACAATGTTTGTTTTGATTGTTACTTAAATTTTATTATATCGTATCGTTAAATCTGTCGTTACGTAGCAATGAAATGTGCTACGTTATGTAACGACCGATTTGGTGTGGTCGTATCGTTACCTTGTCTTTTTCTCTCAATCTCACTCTTCATTATTATTAAATAATTTTATTTTATTATTTACACTACCTTTTTATATATCGTATCATAATCTTTCTTTATAATATTACAAGTTATTCATCATATTAAATGACGGTAAAACGACAAAATCCATCCAAACATTGTATACATCAAACGATACAGTATAATACAATACAGTACGATACGATACATTATGAAACGATACGTAAAAATCATCCAAACAAGCAGTTAGATTTGGTCTGTAAGTGATTTCCTCATTCAAAATTTATTTATGTTTCTTACTTAAATGATCTGATTTCTCTTTAATTGCAAGATTATTATGAATATTTCACAAAGTATATTGACTATTATGGGATGTGGGAGTAAATTGCTTGGACGATTACCCAACTTATGAAAAATATCCTATCAAAGTCACGTTTGTTTTTTTTTAAGATAACAAAGTTACCCAACTATTTTTGACTTAGAAAATAAATTCTACACATTTAATATGCCATGTCATATTAAAACTCTATTTTTTAATAATAAAACAGGTTTAATCCATGACTCTTCAAGTCATTTTAACAGAAAAAGAGCTTATCAGCACTTTTTTATCAAATATTGCAACAACTTATCATCAATTTCAGCACTTGTACCCAAACACATAACTGCTTATTTATTAAATCAATTTCAGCACTTATTGCTTATCAGCTACTTCTAATCAGCTAATCCAAACGGGCTCTATATATCATGTATTAACATCTTTTAGTTCTTACTATTGGATTACGTTAATATGCTCTGGAGTTTTGCTTCATAAGTCAGTCAATCTTGATTTGGTACAGCGAATTCTGAGAATCTTCCGTTTACGCAGACCTTAATTATTCACATATATGATTTGTTAAAATTGTTAGGATGTGAGATAGTTCTTACAAGCATGCCAAGTATGCTTAGCGGCTCTTAGAGTATGTATAGTTTGTTAAATAAATTTGAAGGAGGAGTTGAATAAATTGAGACATTGGCTTCATTTCCGATTTCAAACTTTTAGTGCAACATGATTACAATTCACAGTTGATATACTACGACTTTATTTGCCCTTTCAAACATCCTAACATAAATACATAGAAGGACTGCCTTTTTGTTATGGTTACTAAAAAGGAACTACAAACCGAAAAAAACAACTTATTGCTAGTCAAGGCCTTCTTTGGCCTTGTTTTGGTTATGAACATCAACAACAATTGAAGCCTTTCCATAATGTTGACAATCAAATTCAGTATCATCAAGTCGTCTTAAAAGGCTTGTAAACTTGTAGATCAGATACAACGCCAGCAAAAGAACCAGCAGCTGCAGCAATTGAGATAATAAGGCAAGCAACACTAAGCATTTGAAGGCAAATCCATTTTGTGCTCCATTTTGTTATCTTCTTTTGCACAATGTACATTTCCACCGGGAAATAGACTGTTAGCGGCCAAAACCCAAAGGCTCCAAGAATTCCAACTATGTCATTGAAGAATGGCAATAGCATAGATATGACCGTGGTGATGATGACGAAAATAGTCCTCCAAATTATGCGGAAAAGGTTGAGTTTAAAGGATTTATAGCCTATAATCGGGACACTAATCTCTTTGGCAATGAATTTACTCTCGGGGTACCATTCTGCTGCTGTTTTTTCAATGAAGGCGAAAAGGGGCTGGCAGTAAACCTGGTATGCACCAACAAGGTGGACGACAATGGCTATGTTCGCTATATCGAGTAGCCAATAAGGATTGTAGAATCCAAAACCAGTTAGTAAGTTTCCAGGAGCAAGATCTCCAAATGCTGCATAGCCAAAGCAGCCACAGAGCATGTAGAAAACTGTTGTTACTGCTACACTAATTAGAGTTGCATTTTTCATTGTCTTGGATTCTGACGGTGGAGATTTGAGTGTATCCTGTAATGTTTAGAAATTAATATAACATCAAGCTAAATTAAAATGCTCTTTGAGTAAAAAGAAAAGTGATAAAGGCCCTGTGGTATTACCTGAATCTCAATAAGGATGAGAGAGTAAGAATAGGCAAAAGCGATAGCTCCAAGGGCTTGGAAGCTTTTCCAAATCTTTTGCATTTCAGTCACAGTTCCGATGCTAATTCCAGTGAGACTTCCTCCGATTTTTCCAGTTTCTGTTATTACAAGGGTATCGGGAAAAAAAAGTGAAGCAGAATATTAACCGAAAATGAAATATTTTGAAGGAAAATATGGAAATTTTTAACAAACCTGCCACTTTAGCAACTCCTAATCCTAGTCCAATAGTAGAGTAAGTGAAAGACATAACGGCAGCCACAATTGAAAGCCACCAAATCTGATCAAAATCTGGAATTTGGGAGAAGATGATTTCTATTATTCCAAACATGATCATGTATGGAGTGCTGGATACTTGACAAGGAGCTTGATCACCATGTTTGTGGAAACAATTAGACCTTTTAATAGCTCTGTTCATTTTTACATCGAAAATAATATAAACAAACAAAAATGAGCTCAGTATTTGAACACCCCCCTAAAAAAAATTAAGAGAAAAAAGATCAAATCACAAATGTAACAACTATACTTACATCATGCTAATTGAAGATGCAATGGTGTATCCGATAGCAACTCCAAAAAGATTCGCATACTGAATCCATCCACAAATCTTGACTTGGAGCCCACCTGAAATCATTTTTAAAAAATACCCAAATTTGAGTAAATTAGTAAAAAAGAAAGAAAAAGAAACAGACCTCTC